TGTTGCTCAGCCCTTCTTATGGTCCAAGTTTCACAGCCATCCATTGCAACTGGGAAAACCACAGCCTTGACTATACACACTTTTGTTGGTAGGATGATGTCTCTGCTTTTTAGTATACTGTCTAGATTCACCATAGCTTTTCTCCCCAGGAGCAAGCGTCTTTTAATTTCTTGGCTGCAGTCCCCATCTGCGGTGATCTTGGAGCCCAGGAAAATAAAATCTGTCAGTACCTCCATTTCTTCCCCATCTATTTGCCAGGAATTGAGAGGGCTGGATGCCGTGATCTTAGCTTTCTTAAAGTTGGGGTATTGATTATTATTTTTTGGACTGTTAAGTATTTTTTTTAAAAAATAATTTCATGCATAATTCTATCGGTTTTGAGACAGCCTTTTTTCCCTTAAATCTCTACTATCTAGATTTAAGTTCTACCTTCATTTGCTCAAATTTTTCTATTTTGCCTGGAAACATTGTTCAATGTACAGCGGTCTTTTTTCAAATTTATGCAGAAGGCAGATTTAATGAAGATCCCTATGGAAACATCTCTGCCTTACCTAATGAGAGAAATTGAATCAATGTTTCATGCCCTTCTTCATTATCCTTGGCATTCATCTTGGTGCAAGGATTGAATTAGGCTTCTGTTAACCAACTACGATGCAAATTAAGTAGAAAACCTTTTTTCTTCCTTTCGGAGATAAGTCAGTGGTGGGTCAGAGGAACATTCCAGAATTCTGCTCCATCCCCATTGCAATTAGCTTTGTTCTTTAGATAAATGTGGGAAGATTTAACTTTTATTATTTTGGCATATTGGTGCGAGATATGCTGCGTGTGATAGAACATAAAACACAGAATAACAGAGATGGAAATTCTCCTTGGAGATCATCTAATCCAACCCCCTGCTCATGCAGAAAAGTCTTTACTATTTCAGACAAATGGCTATCCAGTCCCGTGATGGGGCATCCACAACTTCTGAAGGCAAGCCATTCCACGGGTTGATTGTGTTGTGGCCTGCCAGCGGTGGCAGACTGGACAGTGAGGTGGTTGGGGAGGAACATGGGCCAGTCCTGGAGTCTGGGGAAGGCTCTGATGAGGGCTCTGTGTTGGTGGCAGAGAGGGGGCCAGGGCTGTCTGACAGTTATCAGCTGCCTTCAGTCAGACATCAGTGAGGCAGAAGAACAGCTGGAGCCTGTTCCCGATGTGCACATACGCAGAGTTGCCGGATGAAGGGAACAGCTAAGGAACAATGGCCAACTCGGGAGTAAAGGCACAGATGAACAGTGAATGGCCCCTCCCATAGGGAATAAAGAGGAGTGAAAGGGGAGTGGAGTTTGCAGGAGACAATTTGTTTGCTTAATTAGTGTGAAGATTTGTCCGTGAGACTTCCTTGCCAAGTATTTTCTTGTACAGGGTTTGCATTTGGAAGATATCAGCCTGGCAGCTCTCCAAGACTGATAAGGTCTGTGGTTGTAAATTCCCCCTTGAAAGACTGTTTGCCGGGACTTTGCTGGATGTGAAAGAGAGGAATTCACGTTAGCTTAATATAAAAAAGGGTTTTGTCGGGACAAGGAGTCTGCTTCGTGATTTTGGGAAGCCTAGGTCAGAACAGATTGTTCTCACCATTAGGAAATGTTTCCTTAGTTCTAAGTTGCTTCTCTCCTTGATTAGTTTTCATCCATTGGTTCTTGTAAAACTCCTTCGTCATTCCAGTGATCCCTGAGCTTATAAGAACAAATATTCAAAACTACTATTGGAAGAAATTTCCCTCTGGTTCAGTTCCAAGCTGGGAGAAAGAAGCTGGAAACAACATGGAGGCTGATTGGGAAGATGGTTTATAGAAGAAGCAGAACGAAGCAACTACTTGTGATTTGGGCA